TTAACCTGAATTTCATGGCAATCCACACAAAAACTGTTGAAATATTTCACTCAGCTGCTCACATGGATTGAAAAAACAGTGATCAAACTCATTCAGGTTTAGTAATAACTGAAAACTGCTAACAGTGTACTAGAGTAACAGTAAATGTATCCAGATAACTTCATACTTAACTTATTTCCTGACTTTATGAGTCGACGAGGACGCACCATTAAGCAATTGTGGCTGGCAATGGATTGTAGGATAACTGTAGAGGATACGAGAAATAACACACCAGTGTTTTGCCAAAGTTGTCAAAAACATCTGCATTTGGAGGAGACCTTGCACTGGTACAACCTATCGACCTGTTGAGTGTTCAAAGGAGGCAGCCTGTGAATTGGGACACAGTTTTTGTTTTTACTAGTCCAGTTTAGTTCATGTTATTTTTCAGGAATTTTGGTTTCATTCCAATGATCAGGGGTTAAATTACTATTCTCGGAGATTTCTCTCTACGTGGTGCACGACCAGATTCAGTATTCAGAAGCTGAATTGAAGGCATTGTCTTATTGTCAAGAGGAGGACAATGTTTACAATTAGCTGACTTGACTATCATAAATAGTTTAAGGACATTATTTAAAGTGTTATTATCATCATTAACAGAAGGTGTTGTTGTGGTTTGATTACATATAGGAGGTTGCAACATCAGTAATTTACTATTCCAATTCAGAGCGTTAGATAGTATTATTACTGTTATTGTTATTAGTTGTGCTATCTACACTGTAGGACACTATATGGTTTAACAGAGGTTGCTTCAGTCAGTGATTTACTGTGATTTGCAAATTAAGCATGACTGTAGGATGACATTTTTTATGTTGAACATACAGATATTGATGGTTTTAGTCTTGGAGACTTTACTTGTGTGCTTCCACATTTACCAGGCTCTACACGGTAGATTATCAAGCATAAGTACTGAATTCTAATAGTTTACTGTTGTTGATTAGGTTTAGTAAGTAAAGATGTCATCAGTACAATTTATACAGTATATATTTATCAATGACGTACAGTATATGTTGATTTCATCTATATTTTCTAATAATGTACGTACAGTGTCAGTTGATTATCTTCATCATCTACAACCTAATTAATGGGACCCATTTGATGGAGTTTGTCAAAGTTACATGGTTGAACCTCAGAAGGGAAAACCACTGTCTGATTCAGCACTGCCAGACTTACTGCCGTAACTGATAGCACACTACTACCATATATACATCTCACACTTGAAAGGAAACTGAAGCTATAGTATTGTTGAACAATCTGGCCCAATATTAAGGCATCTCAGGTGTGTGTGTGCACGTGTGTGTGTTTATGCTCGTGTGTGTACGTATGGTTGTGTGTTTGTTTGTGTATCCGATACTATCTGACTCCCATGAATCCAAAGCCTCTAATCGGCTGAGTCTATGTTTACACGTGAACGCATGTACCTTGAACACAACAAAAAAAGTATATTTGGAATATATCTGTACTCTTAGTGTTAAGCTGTATGTGGTGGCACACAGTTTATTGGACAAGCTCGTATAGTAGTATAAATGAGGAGCAACAGGTCATACTGGCTAGTATTCATAGGTGTAAAAGATAATTTTTTTTAACATGTGCTCCTGTTCAACCTGTTTTCACTGCTGTCTGTGTCTCAGGATTTGGATCATTTGGGCTTAAAAAGCCTATGAAGCCACATTCAAGGACCAGTAAAGCTGCTCTGGCTGTTCGGGTGCTGTCTGCAGTGACAAAAATGATCAAATAGCTGTGACTCTGCTTTCTTTAATGCTGGCACCACTCCATACAGCTTGCTTACTCACATCCCCAAGTAGGGCAGCAGTCCCAACAGTTTTTCTGCAAGCTTTACATATGGGTAATATTTATACAGTGACCAAACAGGAGAAGAGAAAGCTTTAAAGCATACAGCCACTATAGATGTTACAGCAGCAGATATGTTTAGGTTATAATAAGGAACTACAAAGCATACATTTGCTTTAAAATCCACAAAATTTGCATTTAGATTTGCATGAAAATACACTGTGATAAACACTTATGAGATGAATGTGCCATTTTTTTTCATTCAATTAGGCTCAGTAGTTGTAGAGAAAATGAGGAGGGCAAAACTTTTCTTATCTTACAATGTTAAGAGGTTATTAGTGGATCCACACCAAAAATTAATCTCTTGTTCCTTCCAACTTTACACTTCTTTTCAACAGATATGCTGCTAAGCAGACAAACAAAATGAGATGAAGAGAGGGGACAGATAGAATAATATTTTCAGCAGAGGTGACAAATAATGTTATTTAACTATTACAGTTTAGATCTGCACAATGTTAACAAAGGAGCAGCTGTGTAGTCTCCTTTGCAGCCTAACAGTCCCTGAACAAGGGGTCTCACATTCACTTTCATGTCCTCAGTAACTAAACATTCTTTACAACTTACTAACCAGCACATGAATGCATCATTATACTGTAGGGTCCAAAAAGAAAATCATCAAGTGACAAAAAACACCAGAACTCAACCAAATGTGTTCATTACTTGAGACCTCTGACCAACAAACACACCAGGGTTAAAAAATCATCTGAATTTAACACAAATCTTATTTATTATTTTTCATTGTTTACCGTTTTCTTTCTTTAGTCATTAGGGAAGGAAATGTATCGTCACAGCGGACTGGGGATTGCATTTGTCACACTGTGGGTATCTCAGTTAGTGGAATGAAACTCTCATTCAGATATATTCTCAAATTTAAGAGTATGTTTTAGTATTTGTACTCTTTAAGTGTTTACTTGAGCCTCTGAGAAACACCAAATGATTGAGCGTTCTCTGGTTTGGAGTACTCGGGGGTAACTATAGCCTATCATAGCCAGTATTTTGACTCGCTCCACAAGCTGGTTTGGCAACGATAAGATAAAGTATTTGAGAATTTGACGTGTGTCTGTCTTGTCTTGTTTATAATATCTGTTTCCTTCAGGCATACAGTGCCCACCTGACTTTGTATAGAGTTTTATAAACTCTCCATGAAGCCTTCATGGACCCTCTGTACATTGTTTATAGACGCTCTGTGATTGTGGAGCTGCTGACTCTGTTCTCAGTGCTGCTGGTGTTTTCTTTCTGATCATATGAGACTGATTATATTGTCTCATAATTTCTTCCTCTCTAGTTTTCATATTGGGTTATTGTGTCTGTGGTGCTTTTGTGCTGTGATAAGCCTATATGATGCCAACAATGCTTTTATCTTTTCTATTTCTCTTGTAATAAAAAAAAAGTTTTTTCATGCAGTATATTCCTGGACTCATTTTATAATATTTCACCTCATTGGAAAAACAATTGTTTGTCTACAGTGGCTATTGAAGGTAAAACTGCAGCAGTGTGTAATATAGTTTTTGCCATACAATGGAATATAAAGATATATTTGGATTTTATTATATGTACTGTATAATCCAGTACAATCTGCAGATACTTTGGCTCCCAAGTGTATTTAAAATGTATGTTTTAACCCTTTTTCAGCCTATTTTTATTTAACTAAACTTTCATGTCAAAGATACTGAAGTCAATCAAGCAGAAGAACTTTATTCATAGTTTATTCACAGGATCACATACCTCACATTTGAGAAGGGGTTATTAAACAACAGTACTAGTATTAATAGTAATAGTACTGAAAAGAATATGAACAATAAATAAAACAAAAAGCTTATTATGAATTATAAAGAGAGACTAGCTCTGGCCTGTGAACCAAATTCCGTCCCATTTAATAGAGACGATGTAACATTTGACGTAGTATAGTGTCAACAAAGTTAAGAAAATTTAGTTTTTTTCTTCATTACATTACACCATTTCCTCAAAATAATTATAATAATCAGATTTATTTATTTTTTATGTTTTTATTTTACATCTGTCCATGATGCGTCCATCACAGATATTAATGTTGACTTCCTTGACAGAGAGGGAAAATATTTATATGTTCTGCTGCAGTTTGAAATTTAATTGTACTGTTGAAACAAACATACTGAGGTATAGACACATCAGGACTTGCTGTTTTTTTCCCCTTTTGTTTTTCAGAAAACTTTCGAAAATGTTCTTTCGTTTAGAATCAAAATAATAAGCAAACAAAGGGACTACAATAAGGGATAGATTTCAAGTTATTTAACATTTCGTTCCACACACTCAGCAACCGGATTAGGTTTATCCCTAAAATCTAATAGGAGACCCAAAACTTTTCTCGACCACCTATGGAGATTCAAAGTGTTCAACATTTAATGTATAAATAAGACATTATAAAATAAGCAATCACGTGAATAAATACTAAAATAATATAGGCTATATAGACAATACGCAATACGTTTTTAAAATTCAGTTCATTCATTCATTATTACAAATTTATTTTGAAATAAATAAATGAAAATAACCTGTAATAATCTCAGCTATGAGACTATGCAGGATAAAATAACATTTTCTAATTATGAACCTGATTGGATTATTTCACAATGTCATTACCGGTTATAACATATATATATTGTATTAATTCACATGATTATTTATTTAATAATTCTCTCTTTTTTTAAATGTATTTAATATTAAACCATCTGGATCCCCATCAAGCCTGTGCCTCTATGTTGCGCCCGTACCGCCGGTGTCCGCCAGGCGGAGCCGTCTCCGTGCGCTCGGGTGCCAGAGCAGGTGCGCCGAGGTGAGGCAGCTCGGGTGTTTCCGTCGCGGCTCGGCACTGAACCGCTGTGGATGTGGGAATGCGGTTGCCGGAGGCAGCG